AAAAACAGCATTCATACAGATCTCGCTTGTGGACCTCCCCAAACACAGGACGCTGCCCGCGTAGTGGGTGGGCTCCCAGGAAGCCGTGAGGGTGTCCCCCTTTTACTCAGATCAGGATTCCAAGGCCAAGGGTTAAGTAGACGGGGTGCAGAGCACCCCAAGAGTTAGGGCAGAGCCGTGCTCCGACCTGGGCGCCGCCCTGTGGGGCCCGCAGCACCCCGTGTCCTGACGGCCAGCTCGCGGGTCCCAGGCCCGTGTCACTCCCCGCCTCTCCCCTTGCCAGGCTGCGCTCTGAACGACTCTCCCGCGGGCCTGGCTGCCTACATCCTGGAGAAGTTTTCGACCTGGACCGATTCTGAGTTCCAAGAGCTGGAGGACGGGGGCCTGGAGAGGTGAGCCCCCCACCCCCGCCCCGCCAGCCATGGGCCCGCGTCCCGGCAGCCGGCGTCCCTCCGGCCGACGGCCAGCACCTTCCACTCACTGCCAGATGCTCCTCAGACCCTCACCTCAGGTCCTCCGGATGAGGAAGCGGACAGAGGTCTGGCGACTGGCTCCGGGCCTCGCCGCGGAGGGGTCAAGACCAGGGTCGGGCCCTTGAGAACGTCTGTGCTCCATTTGCTAAATAGCACCCCCGTCCCCCGGGATCAGGGGGTCCAGAGGGCAGCGATCACCCAGGGTCCCCCTGCTCTGAACCCAGGAGAGCCTGGCATCATGGCCACCTGACCGTGTGCCCCGGGGAAGGCAACCCTGGACGCTGCCTCAGAAGGACTGGGGAAGCTTCAGAGGCTGCAGCCTGTGCTACCCGGCCAGCCCTGACCCGGCTTCTGCAGCATCCGTCCCTGTCTTCGTTACTCCGGGGGCACACAGAGCGCCAGACTCTGTGCCGGTGTGGGAGCAGAGGGAGAGGGGGCTGGCTCCCTCCTCGGGCGCGGGGACCGTGTCTAGGCCATGCCGGGCACGCAGTCGACAAATCTGTAGTGGACGGATGAGCTCTGAGAGACCGTCCAGAGAAAGGAGGCTTTGCCTTGTCTGAGGAGCGGGGCGGAAATGACTGGGAGAATCTACTGCATTTGGGCTTTGAGGGACGAGTAGGAGTTTGCCGGCAGACAGGGTGGAAGAAGGGAATTTAGGCGAAGAGAAAACACCAGGTGCTCCTGGAAAGGCTGGCTCGGTGGAGGCCTCGGGCAGGGATGCAGGGGCCGGGCCATGAACCCATGCACAGCCCTCACCCTGGGGTCTGTTCCCTACCCCACATTGGAGAGGACCCCAGGGGGATGGGCCTCCACCAGGAGCTCTTAGGCAGGGCTGGCCCTGTTCCTTGCCCAACAGTACCTGCAGCCAGGTGAGGGGCCCCACCAGACCGCCCCCCGCCCCAGGCTGACCACCCACTGTAGCTGCCGCCTGGCCCCCGGGGGCACCAGAGCCTGGAGCAGGGGGCAGGTGCCATCAGCTCTGTGTTCTAGAAAGATCACTGACTGCGGTAGGCCAGAGACGGGTGTGGTGGTAGTTTCCACGCCGGGACCGGAGCCGAGGGAATACGGGAGCCCTTAGCCACCTCGCTAAAAGCCCAGTTCACAGGGTTTGCGAGTTGATTCTAACCATTCTGTTCCCATCGACCGCTCTCCATTTGGAGGTTCCCTCATCTCTGTTCCCGCTCTGGGCCGCTGTTGCTGGAGACTAAGAATGTGGAAGCGAAGATGCCTGATGAACGTGTTCATCATTCCGGAGAAGCCTCTTTTCTCCCAAATCCCTCGTATTTTCATATTAATCTTAATGCTCTCCCTTCCCCCGTCACGGTCTCAAGCTGCACCGGTGGGGAGCAGGGCAGGGGTGAATCGAACATTCCTTAAAACGTGGTGCCGAGGATGAAAACATACTTGGCCGACCGCCTCCAAAGAGCCGACACAAACAAGTAAATTCGGCAGGTTGACTTCGGTTCAACTGAAGTCACTTCCCTGGAGGCGGAGAGCTGGGCAGGCGCAGTGACACTGCGGGGCCTCCCCCCCAGAGGGGGACAGCCAGGGCGTCGTGGGGTCGGTGTGAGGGAGGTGGCGGGGGAGGCAGAGGAGGGGTGCCTCAAAGTGTGCCCGTGCACGTGTGTCCGAGAGGGGCTGGGCACAGAGCACACTTCTGTCCCGGACGTGCTGGGTGCCGGGTGCCCACTGGGGAACGGGACTGACATCTGAGCCTGGGGAGGGGTCCAATGGGAGGAAATGACCCTCTCTGTGCTTGGGGAGATTAGCGGTTGGCATCAGTGCAGGTGGGGCAGCATCGGGGGGTGCTGGGGGGACCCCTGGCTTACTGGCTGCGGGAGGGGGACGGAGGGAGGTCTGGGAAGACAGAACGTAGTGAGAAGGGCAAGTGTGGATGGAGAGTTGCAGCGTGGCGGGGGGGGGGGGGGCCGGCGCCGGGGGGGCGGCCGGGGGCGGGGAGGCAGAAGGCAGGCCCGGGTGGCATCGGACGGCAGACCGTGGGCAGGGGAGGGAGACTTGGAGGCGGATGGAGGGATCGGGGCCCCCGATAAGGAGGCTTAGATCTCCTAAGCCCCCAGGACTGGAATGGAGCAGGGAAGGCCCGAGGCGAGCTCTGTGCGGACTCGGGTTCCCTCAGGGAGGCTGGCGGGGTGGGGGCTGTGGGTGGCACGTGGCCATCGGGACGCACCGAGGGTTGGGACCCGTCCCCAGAGCTGGAGTCCCCTGGGGTCTGCAGACCAGCAGGTGGGTCTGGGTGGCCGAGGGCACTGGCAGGGCGTTGTGGGAATGAGAGGGGACAGGGTAGGAAGCTGGCGGGTCTGTGCGCAGTGGATATGGGGTTTCTAGGGTCAAGAGGACCAAATGGCTCTTTCCTCCCCAAGGGTGGAGCCCCCCTGCTCAGCAGTCCCAGCCTGAGTGTGTGTGTGTTGGGGGGGGGGTCTGCACAGGGCCCCACGACTCCTAGGGTGACTCACTTGGCGGGAAGCTTGTGGGTAATGCCAGACGCGTCCAGGGGCTCCAAACGCTGCCTGGAAACCCCGTCCCGCCCAGGCCCCGGCAGGGGCGAGCCCACCTGGGAATGGTCCACGAGGGCCAGAGGTGGGCAGCCACCTCCGGGCACCCGGTGGTGACCAGCCCAAAGCCCCTGGGTTCGTTTGTCCTCACCTGCTGTTTCCTGCCCAGGTGGGACCGCTCTGGGGGTGGTCGGGGGTGCGGGCGGCCGTGAGGGCCAGCGGAACCTGCCTCATGCACAGTCCGCATGCCGCATCACCTGCGGTCACGGTGGCTGGTGACCCTGGGCGGAGCCTGCCTGTGCCCCGGTCGCAGTGAGGTCTGGGGGGGGAAAGCAGGCGGGCCCGGAGGCTGCCCTCTGGTGCACCCGGGGCTCAGCGACCGTCTGGTTCTGCTTCCGCAGAAAGTTCTCCCTGGACGACCTGCTGACCAACGTCATGCTCTACTGGACAACTGGCGCCATCACCTCCTCCCAGCGCTTCTACAAGGAGAACAGGGGGCAGCTCTTCAAGCAGGATCGGTAAGCCTGGCCCAGCCCAGAGGCCTCCAGGGCAGGGAGCCGCAAGACAAGCCGGCCTTGAACCCGAGGGCAGACGCCCAGCGTGAGAATGAATTTGGGGGCGGGCCGGAGGTGCTGGGAGAAATCTTGCGCGTCTAGAGTTAGCTCAGGAAGGGAACGCGGGGCCGGCCCGCTGTGCCACCCCTGCTTCCGGGGCCCCTTGGAACCTCACACGGAGACCCTCAGGTGGCAGCGGAGGGACAGGGGACACCCGTCCCACCTGGCCCTGTTCCCCAGCCTGGCCAGCCCTTCCAGAAAGGCCCTGGGTGGGTTGGAGTTGAGGGCGCGGTCACAACCCTGGCTCTGACCTCCTGTCCCCTCCACCCCGTCCCTGAGCCCCCGCTGTGGGGACAGAAGGGGACCAGGATGCAACGTCGCCTCTCAGGGGATCTCTGTCCCTTCCAGGGTCAAGGTGTCAGTGCCCACCGGCCTGGCCGCCTTCCCGTGTGAGCTGATGCACATACCGGAGAGGTGGGTGAAGGGCAAGTACCCAAGGCTCGTGTCCTACTCCTACATGCCCCGCGGGGGCCACTTTGCCGCCCTAGAGGAGCCGGAGCTGCTGGCCCGGGACATCCGCAAGTTCGTGGGGCTGCTCGAGCTGCCCTGATGCCGCGGGGGTGGCCCCCGGGGCCGAGTCTCCCTCCCGTCAGCCGCCGCCTCCCAGTGCAGCCCCCCGCCCCCCCCCCCCCCCCCCCCCCCCCCCCCGCCCTTCTTTTGTGGGGGTGGCTTCCCCCCCCCCGCCCCCTCCCCTGCCCGTCCCGAGCCCCGCGCGCGCTGCACGCACCCTCCCACATGCAGGTGGATGCCGATAAATGATTTTAGTCCTCAGAGCAGCTGGAACCAGGTGACCTCTGCTTGTCCCAGCCCCACATGGGGTCCCCTCCCAGGAGAGCTGGCAGGCGTACGGTCTGGGCTGGGGAAGGAGCCCCCACTCGACCCCCCCACCGGGTGTCCTGGGCACCTAGAACACCCAGCAGGGCCTGAGGCTGGGCGGTGCAGGGGTGGGGTCTCAGGAGGCCTGGGCCACGCCCTGCCCCTGCAGGATGGAGCCCCACCCCTACCCCCTTCCCTGAAGGATGGAGCCCACCCCCCCCAGCCCCACCCCACCCCTGCCGGATGGAGCCCCAGCCTCGCCCCTGCAGGATGGAGCCACCCCCCGCCCCCACCCACCCACCCACCCTGTGCACAAGGGCCCCCTGGGCCTCTGGCGCCCCCTGAGAGCAGTGAGAGGCTGCTTCTCTGGCAGGTGCCCAGAGCAGAGTCCCTGTCCCACGGGGAGAAAAAAGGCAAGGGGCCACCTGTCCTCACAGCTTAAGGGTGGTGCCTGGCCCGGCTCGGGGCAGACACCCTCTCCTCCTCCCCCCTGCCCTGCTCAGGTTTCCCCCTGGCTCCAGGGCACTGGGAGCACTAGCCCTAGCCTGCGAGGGAGCAGGTAGATGGGGCCCTGACCTCACCAGTCTGGCCGAATGAGCGCTTTATTCGTGGTCCTCCTGCCCTTGCCTGCTGCAGGGTGACCTGACCCAGCCACTGTCACTGGCAGTGTGATACAGAAACAAGGAGCCTGGTCCCTTCCTGCTCCCGCGGTGCAGCCCCGATGGGTGGGAGACGGCTGGATGCGGTGATGGGGGGGGGGTCTGGAAGGAACCCGCCCGGAGCTGCGCGCAGGCTCTTTGGTTATCAGCTGGGTGTGTGCCCAGAAGTGGCGGGCAGTCCGTCCTCACAGAGGAGCAGCCCTTCGCTGTGTCCTCCCGGGTACCTGGGACAGCCGCAGGGGCTGCTGGGGCACCGTTCCCACATGTGGTCCTGCGGAGTCACCAGGGATGTGTCCCAGCTACAGAGCCGGGACGTTTATGCAGAAGGGGGACCCGGAGACGCAGAGTCCCCCGCACGCGCCGGCCCCCCTCCCCGCTGCTGTGACCAGAAAGGCCGCCATTCCCTGCGTGGCGGCCCCACCCTGTCTTCCTCGGCCGAGGGCCCGGGGAACCTTTCTGGGTCCGTCTTCCCAGAGCAGGTGTGCTTCACACAGGTCAAAGTAGTCCTGGGCCTGGTTGGGGCCCGAGTCAAGCCGCTTTTCCACCTGGGTCTCCTCCTCTACGTCCTCCGAGCCTGGCCCGGCCGCCCTCAGGCCTCCTGGTTGGCAGCCGGCCTGCTGTCACTGTCGCTGTCCGCAGGGCCCTGGGCGGGACACTGCCCCAGGACGGTTCCACTGATGTCACAGACGGCGCCATAAGTCTGCTGATGCTGTGGGGACAGGGCCGTTCTCTCCGAGGACAAGCCGCTCAGAATCCGGGGCACGTAGGGCTGCCGACACACGGGGGCATGAGCACCTGGAGTGGGGGCTGGGCACGAGAGTCCTCCCCACTCCCCCCGCCGGCCCCTCCCCCAGAGCCTGGCTGAGAAAGGCGTTTCTGCCACCCGCCTGCCCGTCTCCTCGTCCACGGAGGCAGGTGCACCCCTGGGTAGTGAATCTGAGAACCGTCCCCCTGGGGCTGGTCCAAGGACTGACACCCATCAGAGTGCCCGAAGCGGCTGGAGAGAAGGCTGCTGCTGACAGGGTGTCCGTCCCAGCCCTGGCTCTTGTCAGGGACCCGGAGCAGGACCCCGGGGGCTTCACGAAGCAGGCCGCAGCGGGCATTAGCCACGCCGGGAAGGGAGGAGGGCACCCGGTGAAACATCCAGCCCGCGGGACCGGGATGCCCTCTCCCGTGACCTCAACGTAGGAACGTGGCTGCCACGCGGTCGGGGCCCTTCTGTCTGGACAGGAGATGCTCGGCACGTCGCCCGGGGACACTCACCGTGAACGGCGGTGGCCTGTGGGCCTCGGCCTCGCTCCCTTTGTCGCTGGCCGATTCTTCCGTCTGCAGACACAGCAGAAACTCGCGATGAGAGACCAAACAGCCCTTCCCGGACGAACACCCTCCCGGCGCACAGACCCGCACCGCTCGGGATAAGAGCACCAGCTGGTGCCAGGCTCCCGGCAGCAGGGGACGGGGCAGGGAGCGCAGGGCGCACCCCAGCCCCAGGCCTGCCCCACGGAGAAGCTGCACGCACGGGGACAAGGTGCCCCTTACCCTGTAGTTCAGAGGGCTGAGGTGCTTAAAGCATCCGAAGCAGGTGTAGGCCAGGCAGACCAGGATGGTGAGCAGGACGGCCAGGAAGGTGAACAGGGTGAGGGGGGCCTTCAGACCTGGGGGCACAGGGACGCCAGCCTCGGTGGGGGGGGGGGGGGGGGGGCCACGTCTGGGGCAGGAGCCGTGCGTGACCTCTCCCTTGGGCAGAAGGGAAAGAAAAGAGCCTCCCCCCCCTCCCGGCCCCCCGCCCTCCAGCAGCTGGGGTGGTGTCTTCATAGCTGGGACAGACAGAGGGACCCGCTGGCCTTGCCCCCGGTTGGGCTGCAGGAACTGGGACACCGAGTCAATGGCCTGTGCCAACGGTCAGCCCCCTCCGGGCTCCAGCGTCCTGGGCCAGGCGGGACGGAGGCTCCCCCAACTGGCCGGGGCTAGGTCACATCCTGTCTGCCTTTTTCTCTTCCCGGAGAGTGTGCATTTTCCCTCCTCCACACCCACCCCCCAAAGAGCAATGTGGGCCCACCTGCCCGTCCCCTCTGGTTCAGCCCCTGCGGAGCTCACGCGGCCTCCTCCAGGGTTCCCCGGGCTCGGGCCAGCTCGGGAACCCGGGCGTCGGCGCCGTCCCCAGCCAGCCCTCAGCCCGGGGAACCGCGTTCCGGCTGGACACCGGGTCGGTCGGGTGCTGTCGGGCTGGCGTGGATGCGGAAAGAGGAGGCCGAGGGCCGCCACCCGCCCCCACCCCGCCCTGGTCAGAGGGCCCCTCACCCAGGCGCAGGAAGGAGAAGAAATAGAGCCACAAGAGGCACAAGATGGGGGCGGCCAAGGCCTGGTTGACGGCCGCCAAGTGGATCCTCTTCTCCAGCTTGGCCGGGAGGTAGGCGAAGTACAGGTTGTGACGGTCCACCAGGTGCTTGAGCAGGATGTAGGTGAGGCCTGCGGACACGGGGCCGTGAGCAGCAAGCCTGGCGGGGCCCCAGGGGCCCCCGTGCCCCCTCCCTCCCGGGGCATCGATCTGCCCACGGGGCCGGGCTGGTCCGCCAGCTGACTACACGAAGGCAAGGTGGGGCTCAAAGCAGATCCCGGCAGCTCGGGAGCACTCTCGCGCTCGCTCGCTCGCTCGCTCTTTCCCCCGCCCTCTCCCAGCTTCTCCCTGACCCCAAGGAGTAAAAGGCAGCTGTCATTTTGTCCCTAGGGAAAACAGAAATTCTAGGATCATTTGGCAGAAAGAAGTTACTTCGTACCGGATGCCTGGCCCGACCTCTGCCCGGGCCCTCCCCCGCGAGCCCCCCACCGTCCCGCCGGGCTCCCTCTCTCCCTCCCTCCCTTCCCAGCTCCAGCTGACCCTCCGCACTCCTCAGTCAGCAGATGCCGGAGGGTCCTGCCCCAGGGGCGGCACACAAGGCGGATGTGCTTCTGTTATGTCAGGATCTTTAAAAATTTGTTTTGTTTTTTATTTTTTTATTTTATTTTTTTTTTAATTTTTTTCAACGTTTTTTATTTATTTTTGGGACAGAGAGAGACAG